GGCAATCTTGATATTGCGGAATGCACGTTGCAAAAGAACCGTGAAAGCTCGCAGCTGTCGCGCACACAACTATGGCCGCCAGTGAATACTTCCTATACAGCATAAAGTTCGGTGCGTCGGGGAAAACCCTTTTTGGTTTGCTGCCGCCGGAGGTCTTGGTCATTTGGAAAGCGATGAAGTTTGAAGACATTGCAGCTACAGTTGCCTTGTCGGATCCCATGCGTGATACAGATGTCTTCCGATAATATTCTGCGCTTCCGGTTCTCTTTCGTGCAGCCTATTACCGAACCATGGTGTCCCGATGATCAGAAGATTGTCGTCATTGAACGCGCTAGCTCTGGTTTAACGGCCCCTTGGGGTGGCATCGTATCAACGAATCACCGGAGATCACCTCGTCAACTGTAAAACGAGATCATTTTCCTATCAACCTGCCTTCCGTCGGGATGACGTCGTACGGTGACGGCGTTCCACGTGTTTCCTGTCGTGTGGGCCGATATGGCTTGTTTTACGGAAACACGCTCACTCCTATTGCACTAGCTGTAGCGTATATATGTATTTCGAGAAATTCCACTCCTATTCAAAAGCGTGCTGATGGTAGAAGACGCAGAAAAGAAAAAGGTGACCTGATGAACTTTCCGCATCGTCAAAACTCATGAGTGACGAAAAAAAAAAAGAAAGGGATGGGTTTAGTGATATATTTGCTTGAGATTTTTCCCGGTATCTTTAGAATTCCTTATATTTGCAGTTTATTTCCCTCTCTCGCTTATACTTTCGTATATGTGACGCATGCGTCATTTGGCACCTGAGCGAAACTGACGTTTTATAAACACAGTTTTTAGACACTGCTTTACAAAAAAACTTTTCTGGTGCTTTGTTAATTTTTTATTTCAATTTCTACGTCGTTTTGTAATTGCGGAATACCCTAAATTGTCGTGGAAACGTAAGCTTCCCTTTGAGCGTACCTTTGAAGCCCGAAATTCCATAGGGAAAAGATCCAACAACAACAACAGGTTCAAACATTTTATATCATGCTTTCTGTGCTACTGCGTGATGCGCGTTATAAAGACTCCTGGCTAGCAGTCGTACTGCAGTGGCTAAATTTCTCATCTACAGCTGAGACACCAGACGCCCATTGATGTGTATTTCTGTGCTACGTTCCCAAGTCTATAGAAGTTTCCGCAGTGCTGGGGTCCCGCACTGCAGCCCGAGCACGTTTCTTCGTCTTGTCTTCTGTCTCACTACCATGCCGTCTATAGACCGTTTTCGTGTACTCCCGTCCCGAGCAACCTAATAGGCGTATCCGATAATGGCGGCAAAAAAATAATAAAACGTTTCATCCTGCAAATAGTAAAAAAAAAAAAAAAAAAATAGAGGGCAGTCGAAACGAGAATGCGTGACAGTTACGCTTATTTCCTAACTGTATTCTATTGGCGTGGCGTCGTCAAAACAATGTTTTCGCCCATACTGGGAAGTGATGACAATTCAAGATGGCGGCACCCTTGTGAAAAAGAGTCTATAGACCTTTTCCACAAGGGCGCCGCCATCTTGAATTGTCGTCACTTCCAGTATGGGCGAAAACATTACTTTGCCGTCACCACGCTAATGGAAGACATTTAGGATATAAGCCTAACCGTCACACATTCTCGTTTTAGCTCCCCTCTATTTTTTTATTGGTTACAGGTTGAAACGTTTTACTATTTTGTCGTCGCCCATACTGGAAGTGACGACAATTCAAGATGGCGGCGCTCCTGTGGAAAATGTCTAAAGTCCTATTGCAACTCAAGAGGTAGGGGCGAGGGAAAGGAAGACCGGGGAGGAGGAAACAGACGGAACGCTGGAGAAAAGAGGAGGTTTCGCCCTCTTCTCTCCAGCGTTCCATCTGCTTCTTCCTCCCAAGCCTTCCTTTCCCTCGCCCTATCTTCTTGAGCTGTAACTTCCTATATACAGTGCAAGGGTGACGCCAAACGAGTTCACGGGCTCACACAAGTGGCTTTGATAGCGTTCAGGAGAGTGCGTCATAGTCGGTCTGGCGTGTCCCAAGTATATCTTATTATCGCTCCGCAACCAATCAGATTAAGGCATTTCACGATAGGAAGGACGAAGAACTAATCACGAGACAGGAGCGTGATTGACACGCCCCGTGTTTCTGAAGATGCCATGGAGGGACTCTTGGCGACGAGATGCTTCGGTGACACCATCTTATAGGGTTCCTATTCATGACGTCACGACATAGATTATTAGTAGCGAATGACGAGTTCAATTGTGCGTAAAAAGCGCTGCAGACTTTGCTCTTATTTCCGTCGATGAGAGCGGAATCATTCTACTCAAAACATCGTAGTGAGCGTTTAGCCAATCGTGGAAGGCCGATCAGAGCGACGTTTTTGGTCGCACACATCGCCAGTGCACCGAGAAACCGAGGAAGAGGAGGAGACTAAAGCGCGCGGGGCGCTTTAGTCTCCTCCTCTTCTTGGCGACTCGCCGCAGCGTGACTGGCGCCCCGCTGCGGCGAGGCGCCGATACACACTTCTCTCGAGCGAACAAGTGTGTTTCGGGTCCTCGCCGCTGCGAAGGCTTTGCGCTGACGTCCAGGTTCCCCGAAAAATGGCTCTTTGGTGCTCTGTGCTACCAGGTCCTCGCGCTCCAAATCTGCGACCGGGCACTCGATGGCTCCGTCGTCCAACTGCCCGGCTTTGTGAGTATAGAGGAGGCTATGCCACTGCACTCGCCGAACGCGTTCGAGTGCTAGAGCCAAACGCCGGAGGCCGCCGTTCCCGAAGGCATACGGTTTAGAGAAACTCGTTTTAGCGAACGCCGTTTTACCGACCCCGGTTTTATCGAATGCCTTTATAGAGAACCCAGTTTAGAGAAAACGGTGATGAGCCTCCTTTTAGCGAATTCGGACGCCACGAGGCGGCGTGTACGGGTAAATCTAAAGTTCCTGTATTGGCTCCCTACGGGAGCCAGAGTGGCGCATTTGTTTTCCCCGCGCCGCCACGCCGCTATTCGCCGAGGTCCATCACGTGAGGAGCAAAGCATCCGGTGGCGTGCAAGAAAGCGACCTTTACGGTCGCTTCGCCGACGTTTCTCTTGCCCCGGCGTATGTTTCCTTGCTTTCCGCCTCCTTTTCCTCCTCTCCGGTTTTCCATGCGCGGCGGCGCGCGCGGCGCCGCTATTCGCCAAATTTAGTCACGTGAGGAGCAAAGCATCCAGCTCGTGCGGGAAAGCCGGCGCCACGGCCACGCGCCGAGGCTGAATGCGCAACTCTGCTACCGTAGGTAGCATATACAGGAACTCTAGGTAAATCAGGTGAGTTGACATTTTTGTAACGAGCCGCCGCAGACTGCCGCCACGAAGCGGCGTGAGCGCAGCGGGGGCATGGCTTAACACGCGCACCAGTGATACACGCGAGACGTAGGAAAGCCTTTCTTTTAAAAAGCGTCCCATTTTCGATAAACGACGTTTCTCTAAACTGAGGCTCTGCTTTCTCTAAACCGTGCTTCGATAAAACGTGCCCATTCTCTAAAACGTGCTTCGATGACATGGCATTCGATCAACCGTAGTAAACTCGGCTTTCCCACGCGTTTGACGAGTGTGGCGATGACAAAGGCTGCCTTTGTCTTCACTGCAGTCGTCGAACGCGTTGCACAAAAACGTTGACGCCGTGTGGTAAATGCCGGGCGCACTTCCCCTATAAACGAACACGACGCCATAGAGACGCGAGAAAAAGTCCACGTACGTGCGTGTGTGCGTTCGTGTCTAAGAGGCGTGGCCGACTGTCAGGAAAAGGCACGGGCGCGCGGGATTAATCATACGGCCGCGGTAATCTCTTTTATCTCAACCTCGTTCATCCGTAACGCAGGTGTAAAAGCTCCAGATTATGATGTCATCAGGGACCACCTTTTTCATTCGAAGACGCAAACAAACCGGGGGACTCGAGCGCAGAATCTTTCATCTTTTTTTTCTGTGTGTGTTGTGTGTGCTTGTTTCAGAAGCTTTTCGCGGCGGTCTTAGGAGCAACAAAGAAGCCAGCCAATTTTCCAACCAGACGACCCAGGAAATAGCGTTCGCCGCGCCGTGAACGAACAAAGACTAGGGGAGAACAACACCTTTCTCAGAGAACCCCCCCCCCCCCCCCCCCCCCCTTTCCTTTCTTCCCACCCACCTCGCTAGATACAGATACGAAACGAGAAACCTACGTAACGATAATTCTCACTACGGGGTGCCGACCGAGAATACCCCAAAAAGAAAGAAGAGAAAAAAAGCAAATGTGTGGCTCGCGCGCGCGCGCGCGCTGGGATCCCTCTGCTGATAGCGGCGATAAAAAGATGTGTGCTTAGCGCAAACCTCGAAGGAAAAGCTATCCTCTGGCATACGCCAATAAGGCGAGTCTTTGCCTGGGCGGCTCCGAGGAGGAGAAGGGGGAAGAGACCACTTTCCCTTGCTGCGTACATTACGACGCCTCCGACCAGGGAAGGACACACACGGACGGACGGACCGAGTTTTATTTGCCTTCCGTCGCCATTTCCTGCCCTTCATACTTTCATTTTGTTGTTTTTCTTCTTGAAGGAAAATAAGGTATGAAAAAAGAAATGAAAGAACGCAACAAATCTCCGAGTTAGATGAACAAAAAAAAAAATGCCCAAACGGTAGCTGGGCCAAGAAGCGACGGCACGACATCAGACGACACGCCTGTACTGCAGGGACCCAGAGCAGCAAGCGCACGAATGTGTGTTTTGCAGCAGCGAACCGTATGATAGGCGAGACTGTGTTGTCCGCCCACCCACAGCCCCCCGACAGAGGGAGGTAGTAGAAAGAGGAGGAGAGAAAGTGCTCGATAAGATGGAAAGGGCGAGAGAAGAGGAGGAGGAGGATGTGGGAAGAGAGGCAGCGCATGCGCCGTGACGGGTTCCCACCGTCGCTCCCCTTTCCCTTCCCGCGTGTTCTTTCGGTATCGGCCCTTGCTGGGCTCAACGAAAGCGCCGTGCACCGGCGGCATCAGCGGCAGTTCGGTTGCGTGCGCGTGTTGCGTCGGGTGCGCGTGTGGCGACGACGGCGCGTGCTTGTGTTGTGGATGTGTGTGTGCGCGCGTGGCGACCCCCAAGAAAGCAAAACAAAACAAAAGGAACAACAAAGCAAGAGGCACAAAAATCACAGAGAGTTCGACGACAGCTACGAGATTAGAAAAAAAGAAGAGCCTGCGCGGTGCCTGTGTTTGGGACTTGGGGAAAAAAACATAAAGTAAAAAGAAAAAAAAAAAAAAAAAAAAGCAAGAATCAAGACCAAGCCATCATCTTATTCGGAGGCCTGACAAGGTGTACAGCATTTTAAGCTGTCTGTCGTCTGCTCTGTCGTACCGTCCCGATGTGAAGAGGACGGTCCACGCGGCTCAGAGTACGGATGGGACGGTACGCAAGACGTTTCCTTCGCGTGTTTCCAGCTTCGTTAATCACCTTCCGTAGATAACTTTTTCCTATTTTTTATTTTATTTTTAATTGATTGTTTCGGGTACTCCGCCGGCCAGATTTCTCCTTCGGAACTTTTTTTTCTGGGGAGAGGAGGCGTGAGATCGGGCAGCAAAAGCCCGCAGTCATGGGAGATAAGAGCGGAGGTGGTAGTAGCCCGGCAATCGAAGACACCGATCGGTGGTGCGCGGGTCATCGTCTGTTGTGCGGTGGCGGTGACGATCAGATGCGGAAGGACGTCGTCGGTGTGCGTGGTTCCGCGTCGAACGGCGACTTCTTGGATCGTCGACGACGGGTCGGCGGTGGTGGCAGCGCCGCGCTGTTGCTGGTGGTGTTCGTGATCGGATGCTTTGTCGCCGACAGCCGCGCGCACGCGAAACATTTTACGGCCGACGAACTGCAGAGGACCAAATTTCCCAGCAGGGTTTCCGACGATCTTGACCTCGATCCCTGCAAGTCAGGTAAGCCCGGTGCTTTTTTTGACCTCACGTAGCACTGTGTCTATAAACCCAGTCTCAGGTGGTCTAAAAAATGGTAAACTTACACCAGCTCGCCTGCGCCCTAACTGTTTTTTCTATAAGCAACGCGGCAATGTCCAGTTTCATAAAAAAAAAAAGAAAGAATATTATTAAATGTTTCATTTTAATATTGTTGTCTGTATTGTGCAAGAAAAATACGTGCCGAATAGTTTTCAGTCTCGACTTGGGACTACAAATGTATGTCTGCCGGTTTACGCGTCTTCTCGGTGTATACTGCATGAAATACTTTTACAACCTTTCTTTTTGCATTATTCGTTAAAAAAAAAAAGAATTATAATGGCTCTACATTCCTGTCATATGCTTTCGGAGCGAAGGCTTTTATTGAATGAGTGAATCAGTTTACGAGTCCGACGGCGAATTTCTGTAAAAGCCTTTGAACTGGCCGCATTTGAGATACAATTCGGGGGCACGTAGTAGTCACTCCCGACTACTTTCAGTCCGGTATCCGGTGCATTGTATGGAGCACGTGCGTTGATGATGGACATCTTTACTCACTTTGCTTCACTCTCATAAAATAATGTCACTATTTTTTATTTTATTTAATGCAAACGGCCATACTTGCGCTTGTTGGTGGCAATAATTCGATTTATTCCGACAAAAGACGGCCCCGTATGTGAATCCCATCTAAACGAGTAAGTTGACACAATAATTTTTTGTTCAAACAACAACCGGATATCTTCTTTTTTTTTTTCTAACATTCAGCGTACGCAAAAGGTGCTAGGGAACAAAGTTCTCGGTTCACACAAGGACGAGTCTTCTAAAAAATGACTCAGAAGTCAAGCTTGCTTGGACACACATTTTTTTTTTTTTTTTTTTTTCGTTTCACGTCTAAGCAATAAACAAAAGTGGGGAAAAAAACGGGAGTGCTCTCCGAGAACTCGCTTTGTCGTCGAAAGACACAGGTCAGTCCCCTTTATCCCGGAAACACTTTACTCCCCTTGACTTGTATGCAGCGATATATTCAAGAAGAGGACTTCGCTGCAAGAAGCGTCGGTATTTACCCCGTCGCCACACTTTTCTTATTTGTTTCGTTTGCTTAAAACCTGTCAGCTTTATGATCACTTTTTTTTCTCCCCTTTGTAAAGGAACGCACACAATTGGGAAACTGTTTGCGGGTGGAAGAACCCGATTCTCTTCCTCCTGGGAGTACAGACTTTTTTTTTTTTTTGTATGTAGGCCCTAACATTCTTATCGGTCAGAGAGTCGAACCAAAGATAAGGAATTACAAGGCAGTGTTGTTGTGTTTTGAACTTGTTTCCTCTACACATAACAGGATCCAAGGGGAAAGAAAAAAGTACCAAAGCCATAGTGACCTTAGACCAACTCTAGAGAAAATTGTCTTGTTCCAGGCCCTCCTCCCTTCCTGTGTCTGTGTTTTATTAGTGACCTTCCAGTTTAATTTCGGCGAGGCAACGAACGAACAATTCACGCTCACCAAACATCTTTCTTCTGACAACTCAGAATGCGCGCGGAAGCCTGTGTTTCGTGGTGCCGTTTTTTGCACAAAGAAAAAAAAAATGGTTTTATGAAAACGAAAGGAACAGTCGCAGACGAGAAAGTATGGCTGCGCCGAACCATGGATCCACCGCTTACTGGCTCCTCCGTTCGTCGTATTTTTTGTCGGTGTTTCCGCGTTTGCCTCGACGGCGCTTGGAGCCGGGGGCATACGTTTAATTGCCGCCTTATTTTAATTAGGTGGTGTGCACTTTCGCCGTGAAGAAGAGAGGATAACGGTTCCCTTCCTGAGTGGTGGCGCCGACACTCTGTACGGCTCTTAGTTGCCGGACGGATTTATTTTCTTATTTTTTAGCTGGATCGTGATTATGAAGCACGCCCGACAGCGGTAATATGGGGTTCTGGTACGAGTGAAAAAAGCAGAAAAATAGCGGTGATACCATTAATCACCTTGCTTTTCTTGACGGGTTGTTAAAAAGATTCAGCAACGGGAACCTAACGTCAGCCACACCCTAAACCATCACACACATAAACACACACACACACACACACACACATATATATATATATATATATATATATATATATATATATATATATATATATATATATATATATATATATATATATATATATACTACCGGCCTGAGGGTGTGGGCGGAAGTCGCAAAGCGGAATAAGCATTTCTGCGTTGTTTTTAGAAGAAACCTGACTAAAATGTGCCTTTTTGTCAAAACGTCGCGACAGAGGTATATATACCAAAAGAGCCGGAAAGGTGTGAAAATCAGTTTTCGTATGTTTTCTGAGAACGTGGCTAGGTGCCGTGAAAAGGAAGAACCAGACACTGTCGCACCGCGATTGCTTGTGCAAGAAACACTTTGGGTTGAATTCACGGATAGTTGTGGTCTTTAGGTTTCCTTGTTTTGTTCCAACATGAACGCGTAAAAACCGTCAAGCTGTACGCACCACCCGCGGACCACGTTTGGTGCGTCTTCGGATTCAAACGGCCGTCTGCTCGTTCAAGCGACAGCGGCTGGTAGACCAATCGTTCACCCGGTAGTTTCTATAAGAAGTGAGTGCAGGCCTCAAAAAATGTTTAGGTTCAAAGGTTTTTTGAGGTAAGTAAGCTCGGTGTAAACGCTAGATTCAAGGAGATGTATGGCATTGTTACCAGCGACCATCACTGACTTGTTATGCATTTGTTATGCATCATTGACTTGTTATGCACTTGGTCCATTTCTGGTTGCGATTTTCAGTATCGACGTCAAGCACCGCACCTACCCTCCACTTTTTTGCAACCCCAGTGATGCCGCGACTGCAAATAGCGAGCAGAACCTCATCATGTAAATCAGGCTTTAGCGTCCATTTCGCGGCGTTCACGCGGAATGAATCGACCTACGTCACATTATTTACGTGAAGTTTTCCGGCGCTCAGGCCCCTGAAGTAGTAAGACATTGCCAGGAAGACATATTATCAGCAATTCCAACGCGAAAAAGAGTACGGGGTCTCACACGGACGCCGACATCAAATTCCAGTGGTATGTTGATCTGGGAAGGCTTGCTTTTTGCCCACACGCCACACCCCATCGCGCATGCGCGGCGCCGCTGGCGTACCGCTAGGGGCGCTTCGGTTTGTTTGTGAACGTGAGTTAGTGTACAGTGCAGTTAAAAAGGGACAACAAATGTATAGCATATATGGCACTTGATTTCCACAGCTCGTGCACATCATTCGCTCCGTAGACGGGTAGGATCCATCTTAGAGTGTAAAAGTGTAAATAAGTAAAAACACCCGTGCATTAGAAGCCGGGAGCCAGTCTGTCCCTTTTGTCTTCAATTTATCAACAGCCAAAGCCGAGAGTGCTGACAACCAAAGGCTGCTAGGCAGACGCGAACACATTAATGCATCCCCAAGTCTGCGTGGGATGCGTGGAGTTTCTAACTTGAGGTTACACGAAGAAACAAAGAATCGCTAAATTCAGACACCCGCTACGAAACGAGGGCGTCAACCCCGTAGCAGCGTCGCGTTTTGAGACGACGCCCCTTCGGTGTGACTGTTCAACAGCGCGGCGAGAAAAGCGGGCAGGTGTCCCCACGGATGCATAATAGATGAGCGAAAGATGACGGCAGAACGCAACTCGCAAACAAGCACACTAAAGACGGGACGGAGGATGTCATCATGGGCCTATGAATTTCGTTACTAAGCTGCAACGTGTGACAAGCGATAGGAGAAGAGCGCGTGAATTATTATAAGGCTGCGCCAAAGCAGGCGTTTGCATGCAACCGCGCTTCGAAAGCTTGTCTGGCCACCGTGAACGGAAATTGGTTTATTTCAGGCTCGGCGGCGTATGCTTTTCAGGCATCAGACTGGCAACCGCGGGCAGCTTATTTTAGTTTTTAAGGTAGGTGGCGCAAGCTACCGCCCGTTATAATGTTCACAGCCGTTAACGTCCATTAATCCATCCACTGACTATCAGAAGATCTACACACACCGGCACAAGGAGGTTCCTCTTTAAAGTTCCTTGCACTAGAAGCAAGACGGCGGCGCCCAGGGGTTGAGGCCCCAAGCGTCTAGGCATCAACTCATGTTTATGACGTCACGAGAACGTGGCGGCGTTCAACGGAGCACGCGCATACGTATACGCTTTGCTCCTTAGGGGAAACAACGCGGGTTCCTGCGCATGCGTTCTATACCCAGTTCTTATATTGAAAGCGAATTTGGAGCGATGATTTAATGTCTATGTATATGGTAGCGTTGAAAACTGAGTCAGTTGGTATGCTAAATCATTATAAAGCTAAGCGGACGAAATACACACACACAGACACACACAATAAAAAATAGGAAAGCGTCCGTGGTGCGCGCCTTCTTCTGTCCCTGTTGTTCTTTGCGTCACAACACCGAGCTCTGACTGGAATGATTAATGGATGAAGGTAAAGCTATAGCTGCTTTCGTCTCCAATGCACCGTTCGAACGCCGGAGGTGTTCCGCGTCCAAACGCGGGAAGGCCCCCTGTAATAGCCCTGTGAAGGGCTGAAAGTATCAATAAATGAATGAATGAATTAAACGCGTTCAGCAAGTGCAGTGGAGACAAAGGGAGCCTCGCGTCTACCCGCTAATCATGAATCCAACCGGAGCTCGGTGTTTTGACTCCCCCCCCCCCCCCCCCGGGGGCCCGCTCTCCCTTCCCCTCCTCTCCCCCAGTTTCTGACCGCATACTCACTTTCAGCTTGAGAAAGGCAGGGCGTGACTTCGGCTGATGTATTCACGCTCCTTGTCTCGTGATGCGTTCCTCGACGTTCTTATCGGCCACACTCTCATTGGCTTCGGAGCGATGACAAGATATCGCGCCACCCCCTGCGTTTCTTAGGTTGTCGGTGATTATAATGTTGTCCTCTTCGGTTCCGCACTCTCGGGGAAAATACCTTGTGCTAAAACTTAAAAATAAAAGCTCTCGTTTTTTTTATATATTT